CCCCAGCCAGCCGGGCAGATCTACTGAGAACCAGTGGTGCGCGAGGCCCTGTTGGGAATGGAAAATTTATACTCCAGTCTTGGCGGAGCTAGCATTAGGGGCAGAGTCACAAGGAATAACCAGCCAAGCAGCAGGGTGTGGAGGATCGTGGGCAGTGGTGAGCAGTGGGTGCTGTGTCGTGTGGGAGGGAGTACCCCCTGGATCAAGAGTCCCACGAAGCCAGGTGTGGTGGTGTGCACCTGTAATCCCAGGGACTCAGGAGGTTGAGGCAGGAGGATTGCAAGTCAGAGGCCAGCCTCAACAATTTAGACCCTAAGCAACTTAGAAAGACCCTGTCTTAAAATAAAAAGGACTGGGATGTGGCTCAAAAAAAAAGGTCCCAGGACCCGGGAGGGCTAGGCAGGGGCAGGGAGACCCTCTGGGAGAATGCCTGGCAGAGCCGGGCCCCTGGGTGTGCAGTGTCACATTCGCACTTGGGTACTTGAGGGGATCCGGCTTTTGGCTCCGGGATGCTCTGCACACTTGGGCTGCACTGCAGCGGCAGTGAGTTTCTGCCCTCTGCTAGTCCAGATGCCAAAGTTCCAGCAGAGTCCAGGTTTCCAGGACTCACCCGCTCCTGCACCACCTCTGCTGGTCCCAGGGTCCCTGGGACACTGACTTTGTATTGCCAGGCGGAGGTGCTCTGCATCGTCACCCTGCCCCTGCTGTCGTAGAAGAGTCACAGCTTGTGGGTGTTCGGGCGACCCCCCAGTGGGTGTGTGCTGGGTGGACGGACTGGCAGGTGCCTGGTGGCAAACAGCATCTTTTCCTGTTTCCCAGGTGGTTTCTGGCACAGCAGTCTGATTGACCGAAACCTCATTGATTATTTTGTCCCCTTCCTGCCCCTGGAATACAAACACCTGAAGATGTGCATCAGGGTTGAGATGCAGGCCCGCGGCTATGAGGTTGACGAGGACGTCATCAGCAGAGTGGCTGAAGAGATGACCTTTTTCCCCAAGGAGGAGCGCGTTTTCTCTGACAAGGGCTGCAAGACGGTGCACACCAAGCTGGACTATTACCTCGATGACTGATGGCCCACACCAGGCTTTGAGAGGAACTCAACGCTCAGTCTGCCCCTGCTCCTTTCCAGGGAAGAGGAATCAAATGGATATTTCCAGGGGTGCAGCAGGAATTCTGGGCCTGTTCCCTCCCTGGAAGGCCACAGTGCCCTACCTTACAGAACCCAGATATGGACAGGAGGTGTTGGAGCCTTCAGAGGAGAAAACTGCAGCTCCCAGCCCACCCACTGCGGGGCTTGTGATTTTTTTAAAATTAAAAATTATGTTTTAATTTCACTTATTTCTGTTTCAAGGAACGATAAATAAGTTTTACTGAAAATGTGATAACTTTATTTAAGATGGTTTTTAACATTATGAGAAACTTTTTTCAGATTCTAAGTTTTTGGCTTTGTGTGATTTTTTTCAAATCCTCATCATTACATACTGTCATGTCTACCACATTAAGAAAACAGGCTGAGCATGGTCCTTGGCATCTGTTCTGTGGGATGGCAGTACAGGGGACACCAGCGCTATCCCGGGATGACCAGAACCAGCCCCGTCAGGGCCAGGAAGTGTGCAGACAGAAGGAGGAATACATCAGAGGACCCAGGCCGGCCCGCAGTAAGCCCGATGTCCTCCTGGGGCTTTCAGCTGGGAGCGGTGGGGACAGTGGGCGCTATGGGGACGAGCTTGGTCATACTGTGTGCACTCGTCAGAACTTGAATATTTTGAAAGAAACATCCAGAGCCTGGCACACCCACCCACCATCCCAGGTTGAAGAGGGAGAATCAGAAGTCTGAGGCCAGCCTCAGCAGGAGAGTGAGGCCAGAGGAGACTTAGTGAGGACAGTAGTGAGACCCGCCACGGGAGGAGAGCTGGGATGCAGCTCAGTGTGGCAAAGCGCCCATGACAATCGTGCTGGTGTGATCCCCAGTACCACCCCACCCCAAAAAAGGGAAGAAAAGGACCCTCCAGCTCCCCACTTGCCAGCCCCGCTACGTCTCCAAAGGAGCCGCGCTTCCTCTGCTGGTTCTTCAGTTGTGATGGATTTTGCCATATTCTTTTTAAGAACTCCCTCATGGTCACTAGTTATGTTGAATGAGAACTCCCCACATCTAGGAGAACTTAGCTGCCCCTCTGAGAAGGCCAAGAATAGTGTTATCTATAAATGCTACCATTTTACAACAGAATTTTGAACTTTTGGTTTCTTTTTCTCTGGGTGGTGCTGGGGACAGAGCGTAGTGCCTCACATGTCCGAGGTGAGGGTTCTCTGACTGTGCCATGTCCCAGCCTCGCATAGTTTGCGGATACATGCGAGTGTGCTGGAGACTGGAGCTCACACATGCTCACCACTGAGCCATACCCGCAGCCTTTTGAGTATGGTTTATAAAGGAAAACCCTTCACCAGAGGCCCGCGTGTAGGCTGAGTAAAGACGTAGCAAGGCGGTTCTGGTGGAAAGGAAGTGCAGTCTGACCCTCACCAAGCTGCCAGGGCAGTGCACTTCAAGGGCAGGACTCACGGAGCTCCTGGCACCCAGCCGTGGTGCTCTGGTCCAGCTGATGTGTCAGGCAGGAGCGCAGGGCTCCAGGAGACAAGCCATATTGTGCTGCGCAGCTCGCATGCCTACAGAGGGGCAGGGCTCCCCAGGAAGGGTCCAGCAGGCTTAGAAGATGGCTGGAGGGGCCGAGGTGCTCAACAGCAGAGCCGTGCTCATGTTTAAGGCCTGTGTTCAGTTCCCAGCATAAAAATGATGCTGGCCTGGCTGCTGTGGGAGCCCCTGCCTTACGGCTACCTCGCCTGTTTCTAGGGTGGCCCGGTCTCCCTAACATGGTTCAAGTGTCCCTAGCAGTCACAGATGAGCTCTGATCATCCCTCTGAAGATGGCAGCCCTGGCACCTGTAAGGCTGTAAATAGGAAAAAGAGGTCCTCTGACATCATTTTGCAAAGTTCAGTCTCAGTAGATGAAGCAGTTTGGGGTGGAACAGACTGCCTTAGGCCAGACCAAGGAAATAAGTCTCCTGCCAGTTGAGCTCCTTCAACTGAGAAATGGAGGGAGGGGGCAGGGCGATGAAGAGGGGTGTGAGGGCTGGGGATGTGGCTCAAGTGGTAGCGCGCTCACCTGCCATGCCAAAAACTTAAAA